GGGGGGGGGGGGGGGGGGGGGGGGGGGGGGGGGGGGGGGGGGGGGGGGGGGGGGGGGGGGAGTGTTATTTGGTAGGTGCCCAGGTACAGCTCAGAGAGCACGGCTGGGGTCAGAATAGTGAAGGAGAGGGGAGGTACTGGTTAGGAGTTCAGGACGATAAATGGTGACAGTGGTTGGGGGTGGTGGGTATCCAGTTGCGGCTTTGGAAGCAGGGACTGGGGGCAGGATGAAGGACGGGGACAAAGGTACTTTCCTGGAGTTCGAGGCAAGAATTGCAGACAGCAGTAAAAAGGAAAAAAATCCGGCACTGCACTACGAAGGAAAGTAAATTAAAACAAACCTGAATTTGTGAATAAAAGGAAAAAATCGAAATCAAAGAATTGGAGCCCGTAAATAAGAGGAAAAAAAAGCAAAAGTAAGCGAAAAATGAACTTGTGCGAGTGGTAATTCTCTTACAAAGTCCGTCTTCAGCAAGTGGTTTCCGCATTTAGGAAATTCATGCTTAGGTGAAACTGGGGGCAAATGAGTTCAACTTGGATTTACACAAAAACTGTAAACAGTTCATAGTGTTGTCGCCCGCAGTCTGCCACTTGCACAACAGTTATACCTCTGTTTTTTTTGCCTTCAATATCTCACAGAAGCAAAAGCTGACGTCATCCCTGTGCATTCTGTTTACCCTGTTTTTGCTTACTTCATGGAATTTATTCACTGTCAGTTTTACCTAAGCATCATTTTCATGAATAGGGAATCCCTCTACTGACGACGGGTTTTTATGGAACAGTTTCCACTAGCAATCTTTTCCTTTTTATTCATAGAGTCAGGTTTGCTTTTGTTTACTTTTCTTTGCAGCGCTGTGTTGCCTTTTCCTTTTGTTGCTGTCTCTAGTTCTTGCTTCAGACTTCTTCAGGCTTCTTTCAGCTTCATACTTCTTCCCTCGTTTCCCTTCTGTACCGTGTCCCAAAATACTGCTCACAAACAAAATCTAGGCCCCTCTCCATCCCTACTATAACGACACTGTGCAAGCAAGCAGTATTTTACCTTTCCCTACCCTAGGTATCTACTGCAAAAACCAGGAGCACTCTTCCTCGTCTTTTCCATTCATCACCGCTCCTCCTTTCCCCTCCATATGTACATTACTGAACCGGCAAAGGATCTACGTCATTTAGCCCTTACATCTACCTATCCCAGCCCCCCTCTTCAGCCTCGGACCCACTTCCACCTGCCGCATTCAAACTCTCGTCATCGGTCGTGGGGCAGCCTGCCAGCTGCCGGCAGAAAAAATTTTTTGCGGGCCATGTATGGCTGCGGCTGAGTCGAGTCGAGCCGAGTTACTGTAATTGCCCATTCGGACTGGTTAAGTGACCATTATTGATCATTAATGATATAAATGCATCACTGCCCACTGTATTTCCTCAACTGTGCTTCGACATTGTTCATTTCTGAAGTTGCTCAACTAGCTTGGAAATGGTTTAGGTTTTATTTATTCTTCCTTAGTCCATTTTACCACTGCCTAGCCACACTCAAGTTCTTTTAGCATATTTCACTTTCTAGAAGAAACAAAGATATTCATTTATGACCCGAGTGAGAGAACTTTTATTAGCAGCACTCACCCACCATTTGCCAAGACCTCTTCGAGTTTTTTTCTTCCTTGACTGAGGAACGTGCTGAAAGCCGCATAAGGTTACTCTCTGTTTTTTTTTTCTCTCTCTTTCCCTAGGCCCTTAGTGTCAAGCTGTCATTGCAATATAAAATGGAGTTGATTTTCTAAGTCACGCTTTTGCTTCATTTTCCCATCAAAGTCATTACTATTGCTCGACGGTCCACAGCCCTCATCTTGTTGTAGTACTGTAGAAATGTACAGTGGGCCTTGAACAGGGCTTGTCCGGTTTACACCAGTTACCTTTGTTATGAGCAGGTGTATCTTGTTCGGAATTTTGACAGCATAATTGTTTTCTTTCGTCTGCCGACTAGCACATAATCAGGCCTTCAGCATAGTGAGCAGTGTACTGGGTTTGCTTTTCATCGTATTGGCGGCGCTGAGGCTACATCTGACCTCACTGCCTACATGACCGGGATGAGCGGAAGCGAAAGGAGGGAAAAGCAACAGTGCTTTCCCGTTATTGCTTTTCCCACCTTTTGCTTTTTTCCAGAATGACGAAGAGAGCATGAGTGCTTGTCTTACTAAATGTTTTCTTTAGTAAACCCAGTCTGGACGAGAAAGCCGATCCGCAGGAATCGCTGATGAATCTGATGAAACAGATGTACGACGAAGGAGACGATGAAATGAAAAGAACCATTCGCAAAGCTTGGTATGAAAGTCAGACGAAAAAGAACGCCGATCTCAACGAACACACATGAGTCTTATGAACGACGTATTTTGAGTGCAAATTTGTTCCAAATTGGTAGCGATATCACTGCACTTTATCTTCCTACA